TCTTTCTGCCTCACAGGGAATTCATTCAGAGAGTGATTTAGGTTGGCAAGAAACATGGGCAAGCTGCCTTCTGTAAAGACCTCAGCTGAACTTTTTATAAATAGTGCTCAGAAGGTGAAGAGCTTAGCCGCAGGATGGAACATGTTCTGTCAACAATTTATAGGTCTTGCTGATGAAATGTCTCCTTTATTTCTTAATTTGTTTTTGTTTTCTAATCTGTTCATGTAAATTAAATTGTGTTGATCATGATAGAAACTTTACAAAAAGGGTGATTTTTGTCATATGAAGTACAATACAATAAGGTAAAGCTTTAAATAAAATAGAAGTGTCTGTGCATCTAAAAGTACTCTTAGCCAAAAAGCCTTAAATAAACACAACGTTTATGTTTATTTGTTGGCCAATGTGAAAGAATTAGATTCAGGTATTAAAAAATGTGAAAAATACTAATGGAGTCAGTCCAACGCATTTCTTTTTACTTATCAATGAGACAGTAGATATAAGGACACAAGATGAGATTATACTGTACTGTATTTTGTAAAGTGCAATAACAGAGGAGTTTCGGGAAGAACTGTACACACTTGCAACAAATGAACAAGGGTTTCCTGAATTGTTCGTATTGCTTTTATGATGTTCTGCTTCTTGGTTGAATTACATGTATCCAACATTTTTTCATTCGGGTTTAGCATGATGATGAATTCAAGAACAATCAAAGATGATCAGACTAAACAAATGAGAATTGATTATGACAAAACTCTTCAAAATAGTTTCAAAAGTAATTTAACTTTTAACCTTTGGTTTAATAAATAACTTTAGAAGTAGTTCAAGTAGGTAGCTGCGTCAGGATGCATATTGTAGGCTGCAAAGGAACAAGTAAAAGGTTTATTCCATTCTGAATAGAGAAGAAAGAAAACACAGCGTTTTGGCTGTGGAGCCTTCTTCAGGTGTATCAAGGCTCCACAGCCGAAACATTGTGTTTCCTTTCTTCTCTTTTCAGCATGGAATAAACCTTTTACTTATAATTTTAGAAGTATGATTCCCTCCTCACATATGAATTTACTACACCACATTATTCTGAGTTAATTCAAGTAGCTACTGTAGCTGCGTCAGATTGCGTAGGTGTAGGACACCAGAAGAAGGCTCTGCAGCCGAAACTTGTTTCTTCTCTTCTCTTTTCAGCATGGAATAAACCTTTACTTATTCTGAGTTAAACTGTTTTCTTGTCCAAACCTAGAGTGAACTAGAATACAGTAATTCAGAGGACCTTATAAATTACATTTCTGATTACTTCCAGCTGAAAATAAAGACAGTTTCCATTAATTGACTGTTTACCACCTAAATCGATCAACTGACAAGACTGATAGACCGTCAAGATGGATAGACACAATGCCTTTAACTGAGATAGTTTCCTTTTTCTAAAATTAAATTGCTCACATTTTTCTTTCACTCATTTGAAGGAGGTGTGAAATACTGAGAGTATGTGATACATTCTAAGTACTGTGCTCTTTTATGAATACCTGTACATGTTCAAATGAGAAAATGTTGATCACTTTGATTGTACACTGACTTTCTCTAAAAGAATGCTTTGAAACATATACATATTTTGTATACTGATACACTTTAGAGAACTCAGACTCACTAGCTGAGAACCTTAACTTGTTGGTCAAACAAGGCACTAAGTAGTAAGGCACTGAGTAAGTATTTGGGTCACATTTGTGGACTACTGAAGAGTAGATTTGTTGTTTTAATTGGTGATTCAGCATGATATCGAAAACTGGTAGAGCATTATCCCAATGTTTTAACTCATAGTCAGTTTCTGAAGAACTGTAATGTGGGTTTAGTGCAATGGGGGAATTGTCAGTTTTGTTATTAGAAACTAAAAACAACTATGGATGCTTATGTTTTCTGGAAATTGGATAATAAAGACAAGGAAGATACACACATGACACACTGAATATCCGTTGTCATTCTGTGGATATAAAACACATCTGATGTCAGCAATTTTCAAAGGTTTTCTTATGACTTAACCAAAATAGTAAGGATCATTTGCTCTTAAATGTTCGCAAAGGAGATGGATTTCACATCTACAGTATACTGGATTGTACTAAATACCTAAGAATTGAATGCATAAACCACTGAGTTTACAAATAATGTATTGTTCATATAATTTAACAGAGATTACTATCATTTGCCCAGAAGAAGAACTTATCAAATATTGCCAGTTATTTTTAAATCAGGTTGCAATTTACAATGCGCAACAAGACCTTTTATGTCCTAATTGAGACAGAGTCGTGATGCATTTAAAGTTGTCTGGAATTTTGATGGATAATCAGAGCAATTTACAGGTAAAGTCTTGGAATGAGTTCAAAAGAAGCTTCTCACATCTGGCAGGGGGCTGCCTTTGAAGTCTGGAGCTGTTATGTTCCTTTTCTGAAACCCAATTATGCTACTTTCAAAAAATCAAAAAAGGCACCCCATTGTGAAAAATAAAAAAAAATCCTTACTGGGTTACATCTAAGCTTGCAGACCTTGAAGGCTTCATGCCATTTCTGATTAGTGTTCTGTAGAAGGGGATACTTTCATTAACCACTGTGGTATGGAAAGCTAGTGTAACAATGTGGGTGCCATTTTACAAATCATTAAAATGTCTTGGGCTATATTAGTAAAATTTTACTGCAAAGCAAAATTCTTACCACCTTTTTATCCTAGAAAGGAAACAGCATACAAGATACCTGCAATACGACTTTTTCAAAATGGGTAATAGACTGAATGTGACATAAATGCTTTATGGTAACAGCCTCAATATTTAAAGACTTTAGATATTTTAAATGTTTGCTATGTTAAAGTGTACAGTCTGCTATTATTTTTCACAACACTATTAAAATCTAAATTAAATATACACTAGGAAACTGATGAGATTATTTTGAATACAAGGACAGCATTTGGATTTAATCAACCCTTTTTACAGCAGATAAAACCCAAGGTCATTGAATTAGGTAAGAACAAGATAATTTGCTAATAAGTTAACAACATGGCTGGTAGTTTGTTTAAATGTTCATTTTTTTTTCCTTTCTCTGTGCAGTTTCTCTGGCTTTCCATTTGTTCTGCTTACATTATATTCCCTTGGGCTGATTACTAATACTTCAGAGCATCCTGTATCATGGAACCAAAAACCCTCATAGACTCCTTTGTTCAAGACTAAAAAGATGAATTTCCTTTAATCTGCCTGTATTACCTATCTTCCTTTAAGACTGGGAATTATTCCAGTCACTTTTCTCTGAGCTCTCTCCAGTCATCAGTATCCTCTTTATAACAATGTGGCCAAAATTCATTTTAAATGAGCGAAGACATTGTATAAAAAAAATAAGCAATCAAAATCAGACAAAATATATTTTACACTGTGTTTAATCGAAACTCTGAAAAACAACCCTGGAAACAGCAGGAATAACACCCTTCAATGTCCACATCAGAGATCATTCCCTTCGGAAAGAATACTCCAATCTGGTAGCCCCTGCCACTCCAAGTGTCCATCATTATTCAGGGTTCGGTGATGTGGACGACGGAGACTTCCGTCCCCGCTGGGTGCTAAATAGAAATGCCCAGTAATTGTACAAATCTTGTCATGTTTGTGAGACTGAAGGTGAAGGATAGTGTTAGATGTGGACGACACATCTTTTTTTAGCCTTTTGTTATGATAGAGAGGCGCTATGAAAACCCTAAATTAAAAATTAAACGGAGCACATTAGAAACTGCAAATATTAATTCGTTTTAATTAAATTAATTCAACGTGTTGCATTAAAAGTAGCCGCAGGCCGAAGAACACCACGACTGCCTCCATAATATCTGCGTATACAGTATTTATATTGGCGCTGAGAATTCCCAAGACAGCATAAATAGATCTAAAGTGTTCAAATATCTTTACTTTCAGTCATACGAATACAATTCTAATACAAATGCAATGGCTATTGACTGCTTTGGAGGTGGAGTCGAGTATTATACAGTATATTCACAGTATGTTTCACCTTTTCCTGCGGAATCAGTGTAGAATTTTGTTTGCAAACATCTGGGAAAGACTCCAAGAAGATCCTTATTTAGCATCTACATCTGTTGGGACATTCAATGCCTTTGATTTGTGCTGGTTAGTGGTGTGATATCGTTTAGTTTTAGATATCTGTCTTTTTCCAATGCAAGTATCGGATACAGTGTATAATTTTCTTTTTGAACACCAATATTACTGCTTGCGGGTTAAGAATGTGTTCATCAAGTGAACACTTTTCAGGGTGGAGCGTCTTCTATTTGAATGCTTGTAAGATTCTAGTCTTCCTACGTTATATGAAAAGCAGCGATTGAATTGGCACTGTCTTCAGTTCTAATGTTTTTTTTTATAATAATTGTGCGTAAATACAAAAGGGACATAGTCGGAGAAATCTAGAGTAATTTTTAGAAGTGTGACATTAAAAGGACTAATCTAATAAGGCCCTATATTGTACATCATATGCAAGCGCACGACAACAGGTTCTAGATGAAAATATATCTTTATTTACACGTTTTATCCACTAGGGGGATCTTCAACTCGGAAAATAAAAAAAAACACATTTGTAGACGTAATTCAACGATGTATGTAGACATCGTTATTTTAGCAAATTCAATCAACACGTTAAAGTTGATGTCGTATAAAAAGCTCTTTTCGGTCATTTAAAAATCAAGAGACTCAGAGTAAATCCTTCTTTGTGCAGTTTTTTTTGCAGCAAGAAGAGCATAAATACCATTTCAATTCGTTTTACAATCTAATTGGACTGCCAACGTTTTGTGCTTTATATGGAATAAGGCATCGCAAGTGATATTTAAAGATGAAGCGTTTTGTGCATAAAAAGTAAGATTGCATAAATGTACTGTCACATAAAACAAGTTTGCATTGCACTGGTGAAATGTACTGTTCGGGGTTGCTTGCAGTACTATCGAGCAGCCACCTTGAGTAACCACGTACGTTCATTGACTACTAGTTAGTAACTCATTGAAAGGGGGTGGCAACTTCAGAGCTCACTGTAGGGTGATGGGAGCTTCTGTAGCACTGCCATGTTCGGGGAAGTTTAGAGTTAACGGGAAAAGGTACTCTAACTTTAGCGTCTTTGTGCAAAGGCAGAGGAATATACTGTATGCTGTAGTTAAAGCCTCGTTTAAAAGACCGTGGGAACCATAAACGTGAATATCGGATGGTGGTTTTGTCTTGTACAAAGTTGATCTTTTTTTTTTTTTACGAGTGCGGCCGGCCGGGGGTAAGGGACTCGTTGTGGTCCGGATCATGGAGTTTTTAAGAAGATGACCTGCAGGCAGAGAGGTCCCCTCAAACTTGTCATCTCCGCAGCAGTAGTAAAGCACACCCAAACATTTCGCATGAGCTACCCGTCAGGAACTAAGATCTGCAGCCCAAAGGAAGCTCAGGATGAGAAAACCGAAGATCTGCCGGATGGTTTTGGCTATGTGTTTGGGGTCTTTTGTCCTTGTGATATTCTACTTCCAGTACACCGGTAACGTAAACCAAGGTAAGAATCTTACCTTTAAAAGTATGTACTGTATGTAGCTATATTTAGTAGGTAGTTCTAGAATTCCGTTTTATTAGCTCCTGAAATGTTCTAACATCAGAATTTTAAACAAACGTTTATTGTAGAGATATCCCATTACAGTATATATAAAGAGACCAACCTATTTTGACCACCTCTTTTTTTGGACATTATAGTCCTCCACCAGTCTAGACTAGTTCTGAAATATAATAACTATATGTAGGTCTATGTATTACAATATGGTTATTTCCATTTAATTTAAAAACTCAGTGCAGAAATTCTCTTGAACTTCGGATCTGTCACTTGTGACTGGCTTGCTTAGCGGAAAACGCTTCTGGCTTGTACAGTGCCAGCGGATCCGTCGGCTATCCAACTCACACTGCGGGTTGTGTAGGACATCACCTGAGTTTCTCTCTCTTTTCAATTTCCGATTTTATTAAAATGTCTGAATGCTAGGGTCGTATATTTGATGGCTGTGTCCCGAATTAATGTACTATTTTTACCGTTGGAAGTCTCAGAAGCAAACGTCTGTTCTGAAGGAGAACGCTTGGTGTAATCTTGTTCCGCAAATTACATTTTAATACTGTCCACCTTTTAATGCATTAAGGAACAGTATTGCTGGTAAGAACAGATATGTTTTGAAACAGCCTTTGCTTTCTTCCTGGGTGTATTCTTAACATATAAATGCGGATATGATAAATATCGGATTGATAAAAATATGTAAGATTAATGAACACATCAGGGATTTACGAGGAACGCTATATAAAATACATTTGACAGGCGTTGAATTAATGTCATGCGCACACACATGGTCTTCGGGAAAATCCGTGCTTAACATTTAATTAGAGTGTCCGTGTACTAAATAATGTAGAGACAATTTTAATGAATGCTTATCCAAGTTCTTAATTGCTCTGGTCATTCGGTACAGAACTAATCGCTCCTTTCTTGTTCCTCAGTCATACATTACTGGCATTAAGCAGTGGCCCGCCACACCATAATTGATTCCCTGAGAGCTAAACAAGTGAATAAAGTCATTTTGTCTTTATGCTTTAGTACTGTATACGTTCACTGCTGGGAAAACACCCCGTGTGTCACTTGTGAACTTCTGGACATCACAGTAAGGCTGTTGGCTTTTGAGTACTCAGTCTTTTCACAGTCGTCTTCGAGTTCTGGGACAGAGTCCAGTATCCAAATGAGGAAATATTCGGCACTCATCTCATTCTCAAACCACTGTGAATAACTCTCTGTGTAAACTTTTTTTGTTGTGGCTGAATTTGATTAACACAACAAACACAACAGTGATTAAAAGACATACCTGTACTCTTCTAATTGTACGTGAACAGATTACTTAAAAATTACATGAACATGCTTGTATGCTTTGGGAACAAAGCACCATTCTCAATTGATTAATTAGAGGTAGAAAATATCATCTTTGCCTTGGTTTATGGGTCTACAACACCCTTTTTAAGTTGGACTGAAATACTGCACATTAGCAGTCTTTTAGCAGAACAGCTAAAGCTTTTCAGATGGCATAATTTCCAATTATTCTTCTAGGAACCAAGACTGGACTTTAGGTTTAGAACATACTTTCCAAATAAGATAAATAATTATTTCCATAAAGAAGAAAAAAAGAACTTTCTAAAGCATATTCATCCAGGTTTTTTGTGCAAATAACCTTCATATTTAGGCTAATTGATTTCTTAATTTAACAGTTTAATTAGTGAGATTTTTTTTTTAAAGCCTTTTTATTAGTTTACTGGGACATGAGTATTTACCATTTGGTCCACATGGATGAGTGCATTTTGTGGTTTCTAAGGTATTTAGAAAACAGAGCTCTGTACAGGGGGAGGCATTGCTGCCTCATACAGTAGCTCTGGGTCCATTTCCTGGGGTGCTATCAACAACGACTTTGAATGCCATGTTAGCGACGGTTAACTCTGGGGTCTCCGGTTTCTACCCAGTGTCCAAAGATGTACTGGTTCTGTAGGTTAATTGGCTTTGGGAAAATTGGCCCTGGTGTGAGTGTGTGCGCGTCTGCGTTTGTATCTGTGTGTTCCCTGCGATGGACTGGAATTCTGTTCAGGGTGTACCCTGCCTTGCACCCATTGCTTGCCGGATAGACTCCGGCTACCTCACAGCCCTGCATTGGATGAAGCAGTGAGAAAATGGATGGTTGAATGGATGGTATTAATACCTCCCTGTGATCAGGATCCCCTGATAGGAGAGGGCTTGGATTAATCACTGTACGTCCCAGCACGCCCTGCAGCGCAGTGTCTGCTGTCACTGTACATTGCACTGGTTTTAGAAATTCTCGTCCAGATGGGGGAATGCTGTTGGTATACTGGTCCTGCAACAGTAATTTGTTTTTGCTTGGAAATCCCCCATCCTGGTGCTGATCGGGCCCTGCCTTGGTCTAACTGTGTGAATGGTCTTCACTAAGTGATGGAACCATTACAGTTAGCACTTTGCCTTAGGATAATACTAATTTATATCTGTGTTTGGGGACACAGCTTTAAAAAAAAGTTTAAACCAATAAAAGTGACTTCAGCAATTAATCAGTTAGATGTTAGATGTTATAAGTTAGATGCATTTGTTTGGAAGAGAAAAGTACGAGAAACACTATGTTACCATCAGCCTGTAAATAGTATAGGCTATTGGGATATTCTTACTGCAGACTAGTTACTATTATAGTTGAGAGGAAGAAATACAACCTTTTTGCTTTTAGTGAGCGAAAGTACTAAATTGCCTTATCTTGTGATGAAGTATTTTAATCTGTAATGTGCTTTTATTGGGTCTTACAATCTAAAGCAAATCCTTGGTCCTTACTTCCTACTAACATGGCAAATGTTTCTTTTTAGTATCCACAGTCACTAAAACTGTAACAAAAGCATGTAGAAAATGTGAAACCTGAATCATCTGATGTCATTATTTGTATTATAAAAAGTGTGTGATCCCCAGTCAATCACAAATTCTACAGGCTTTCTCTGCTTCATGTAAAGTCCAATTACCAAACGTTTTTACTCCTGTCATAAGGAAAAACATTATTTCTAAATTTAAATCCTAATGGACTGCTTCTCATTAAGGCTATTTCTTCTGCTAAAATCCGTACTGTATTATGTTTTTAATTAAACTAGATCCAGTCGACTGGTCATTATTGTTCAAGAACTATGTTTCTGTCCAGGGAAAATCTTGTCGGAGATATTTCATTACAAGTGTATCAGTTTTTGTAATTGATACTACTTTTGTAAAGTAAGGTTAAGCTGTTTTATGTCTTAAATTTGTAGATAATAATATCACTGTGATCCAAGAGCCACATTGTCATCTTCTCTTGTAGCCACACATGAGACACTTTCAATTCTACTCTGTTCACACAAGTGCACAAAACAGAAGGACGTTCCTTTGTTGTCATTTCATGGTATAAAAAATAGGGGTTTGGTAGCTCAGTAAGTAAATGGCATTTTTGCTTTGTCACAAAGCTCTTAAAGGATTTCTGTAAATGTAAAATATGTTGTTATATCACAGTGTTCATATGAACTTAACTGTTTAAGCATTAAAAAAAAACCTGCAGGTCTTTCATCCCTGTATCTCAGGGGACCCTAAAGAATCTGATCCTACACCACAGACACAATGGTAGCATTGAAATCTGAAGTAAATATTTAACAATTAAATTACCGTGAGAGGTTTTGTTTATTATGTGCTATCAGAGTTAATATTTTTTGGCTATTCCTTAGAAAGCATACACCCCAGCTTTGGTTCGGCTTGATCATTGCTGCCTCAGAATGTGGTAATTCAGCTGAAGGGAGCATCACATTTCCTTCATTAAGATGGTTTTAATTATTTGTACTTGATGTTGAACTAGATATGGAACAACGCATTTAATCCCAATGGAAACATGTGCACCATATAGGGCTGTACATGTTACCTTTATCTCATCTTTAGGAGCATGCATTAAAAGGCTGGGATTTGAATGATTTTCTTTATAATATAATTGCCAGTATACTGTAGCCTCTCCATTAATCAATAATGGATTAACATAGCTCACAGGTTCTGTGAGCTGTGCCTGCTGTATCTTTTACTCAAGTTCCATCAATGGGACAAGTTTTCCATTGTCAGTTTGGACATGGCTGTAGCGATCAGATTTCTATAATTAAGAAATTTAATTCTTCAATGCAGTTAGGATTGGGATTTTTATCTGGTATTAAAGTATAAAGTAAGTTTATTACAGGCTGGTTCCTGCAAAGGAAGACTTTTGGCAGGGAATGGAAGATATGTTTCTGGTAAGGCCAGGAGGCTTTAAGAGTTGCTTTCATTGTTTTAATATTGATATTCTTTAACAAAGGCCTGGCTGCTGTTTTAGGTCTTGGGAACCCTCAACTGACTGTCAGTGCTTGGGGCTAACCTCAATATGTCTGAACAATGTGGGGATCTTTGTTAAACAAAGGTAGGAGGCATGCAAGTTAAATAGAGACCACATGATCTCATTAAGTATTTAAATCCAATTGTATACAACTCCCCTGTGAGGGTTACATCAGCCTAAATCTCAACAACGTTGACAGGGAGGATATGATGACATCAGAGCTTTTCCTGGTTGAGTGTTCACACATAATATGCATGCATTGTGCTTGCTGAGTGCTTTTTTGCTCTAACTGCTCATAATGGAATTCAGCTGTACCCTTGAGGAAGAAATAATATTAATCTTAGCCCCTTTGTTTTCCAACATTGTTTTCATGAATACTTAAGGCATTTAATTACATCTCATCATAGGTAAAGTAGACAGTTTTGGTTACACTTTAGGTTACAATCAGAAAGTCATGTTAGACAGCTAATCAGAGTAAATTTCAATCCTCGATCTGTAGTTTTTAGAAGAGACTGTGATGGTTAGAAATAAACATTTTTGTTTATTTATTTTTAAATACCCATTCTGTCAGCACATTAAAAATGTTGTTTATTGGGGCTCCAAAAGTGGTCTGGAACTGTCAAAC